GGGCATCTTCCCGCACCGCTCCGACGGGCCGGACCCGCTCTGCCAGCCCGCTGCCGGATCGGGGCTGAGTCACCTGCAAGGACGGGAGTCCCCAGGGACAGTGCTGGCTGCATCCCGGCCCCGGCTGCATCCCGCACCCAGCCGCGTGAAGAGGTTGTGCGGAAGAAAAGAGCGACTTTATGGCCATGGCAGGGCCCGGGGGGGCCTAGGCTGGGCCGTAGTGCTGCGACACGTAGACGTTCTGCCCATCGTACTGGCCCGTGCCCAGGCAGCGCAGCAGGAAGTGGCCCAGGTCGTGCTTGGAGATGACGCGGGAGCCGCCGGACGCGTTCACCGTCACCACGTAGTCGCCGGTCAGCGGCTGGTCGTCTGCGGGTGGAAGAGGTGGCCGCGTGTTCCCAGGTGTCCCCATGGCCAAGCCGTGGCCATGTGTCCCCCCCCCAGGCCCAGCACGCACTGGCAATGTGTGGTGGCATCACGGAGACGCAGTCGAGCCCGGACTCCTGCAGCACGCGGTGCATGCGCACGTGGTCCTCGGTCACCGGCCGCAGCCGCGGCGGCACCTTCTCCAGGTCCCACAGCAGGAAAGCTGCGGGTGGAGGCGGCACTCAGCACCCCAGTGTCCCCCGATGTCCCCCGCTGTCCCCTCCCTCCATGTCCTCACCCGACAGGCAGGCCACCACCTTCCTGACGCCATGCGCCTTCATGGCAGCCACAATGTTCTTGGTGCCCTCGGACATCACGGTGGTGGGGCCTACGGGCACAGGGGCAGCAGGGTCCTCACCATGCCCCAGGGCAACGGGGTGGCACAGTGCAGGGTCCCTGGGTCCCCAAGGGTCGCAATGTGCCCCAAAGCAATGGGGTGGCAGGATGCAGGGGATGCAAGGTGCAGGGTCCCCAGGATGCCCCAGAGCAATGGGGTGACAGGGCGCAGGGTCCCCAGGGTGATGGAGTTGCGGGACGCAGGGTACCCAAGGTTGATGGCATCACAGGGTGCAGGGTCCCCAGGGAGCGAGGTGTCCCAAAGCAATGGGGTGGCAGGGTGCAGGGTCCCCAGGGAGCAGGGTGTCCCAAAGCAATGAGGTGCAGGGTCCCCAGAGTGCAGGGAGTCCCAAAGCAATGGGGTGGCAGGGTCCTCAGGGTGAAATGTGTTCCAGGGTGACAGGGTCCCCAGGGTGCAGGGTCCCCAAGGCTGATGGGATCACAGGGTACAGGGTCCCCAGGGTGCATGGTGTCCCAGGCCAAGGAGGTGGCAGGATGCAGGGTACCCAAAGCTGATGGCATCAGAGGGTGCAGGGTCCCCAGGGTGTCCCAAAGCAATGGGGGGGCAGGGTGCAGAGTCCCCAAGATCCCCAAGGGGTGGCAGGCTCCCCATGACGTGATGACATCAGAGGGTGCCATGTCCCCAGGGTGACGAGGGCCCCCCAGGGCATGAGGCTGGCAGGGTGACAGGGTCCCCGGGGCCATGAGGCACCATACTGAGGTCATTGCGGGTGCCCAGGATGATGAGGACGGCGTCCTGGCCTTCCACAGCGCGATCCACGTCGGCGCCGTTGAGCACATCGCCCACAACCACGCGCGCCGGGCGCCGCTCAGGGGGCAGCCGTGCCGGGTCCCGCACCAGCACCGTCACCTCGTACCCTGCGCGCCCCCGGGGGGGTGTCCGTGGGTCAGCAGGTCCCCCAGGGGGGCTGCACCCCCAAACCGAGCTGCTGGGGGGTGGGTCGGACGCCCTCTCGCCCATGGGACCCTGATAGCAGCAGCGCCTGGTGCCACGTGATGATGACTCAGCTCTGGCCGAGCATGCCTCAGCACCGAGGCTGCCTGCGTGCAGCGCCCATGGGCGCCGCAGGGGCTCCCGGTGCTTCCCCATCCTTGCTGGGGAGGATGGGGACACGCGAGGGGCCCGAGGGGAAGCTCTGTGGCTGGCTCACGTGCCCCATCACGGGCCCTGTGGGGAGGAGGGCCCAGGCGTCCTGACGCCCAGCCTGGACCTCAGTTGTCCTCAGGCTGGTGCCTCTCTGGACACTTTTGTCAACAAGGTGAGGGGACACTGAAATGCAGCCCTTAGATCCAGCTCGTCCCCCAGGGAAGTGCCCGGGTGCTCTAGGACATGCACTGAGTTGCCCAGGACTCAGCTCCTCTGTGGAGTCTGGCGAAAAGGGGCTATGTGGAGCTTTCTGGGATGGCCGGGGACCAAAGGGGCTCGGCCTGTCCTGGACCATCTCTGTCTGTCCCCAGCGGGGTCTGTCTGTCCCCAACGGGATCTCAGCCTTGCCCAGCTCCAGCCTGGAGCTTTGGTGCCTCCGTGACACCTGCCTGCACACGGGTGACGGGCTGAGCCGGGCCAACTCAGTGCACCCTCATGTGGCAGCCGGCCCTACCGCGGGCCCCCCCCCGCCCCCCGCCTGCGGCTGCAGCCCCCAGGGCCACGGTGACGGCTGCAGGACCTGGGACCGTGGCGGCGGCTGCAGGACCCCCTACCCAT